CTTTCTCGAGGAGCCCCGCAGCCCCTCCACAGGTGTCCCTGGCAGCCCCCAGGCTGGCCCCGAGCAGGGCTCTGCTCTCCCCGGCCTGTCACGGGGGCCTCCCCGCTTCCCGCTGGCTCTGCATCCCGTGGGTCAAACCCCTGCGGTGGTACCCGGAGGGAGGAGGAGGAGGGAGGAGGAGGATGCGTGTGCTGCCTCGGCCAGGATTCATCATCCTTTGTGCCTTTCGTGTGCCTCGGTGGCTGTTCTTTTTTATTTCTAAGTCCCGTTCTGTGTTCGGCAGGAAAGAGGAAGAGCTCGATTCAAAAGATGCCATCATCCTGCATCAGTTTTCCAGGCCGACCAACGGCGTCCCCAGTTTATCTCCTTTCTGCCTGAAAATGGAAACCTACTTGAGGATGGCTGATTTACCCTACCAGGTACACTGTGCCGTTTCCCTTTATGTTTCAGCTTCCTATAATTGCATGAAATGGCAAATAGGCATCCCACCTCTTCTCCTCCCCAGTCTGTCTCACCTGGGGAGATGTAAACATGCACCTACGACAAGGTGGGTACACAGACACTTCTGTGTCTCCAGTTAAATTTGGTGTATAACCTTTAAAGATAGGACTTGAATTGCATTGGTCTGGAACAGCTCTAGATTTAACTGGTGAAGCTAAATGAGTGTTACAAGCTAACTTGGCTGGAAGTGCTGAAGTGGGAGAGTGGTTTGGAGTTTATGTAATGCTAAATAATACCCTAAAACTGAACTGTAACATTATTTGGGCTTTGAATTTCACTCTGCTAAAGAAGTAAGATTAGGCAGCTGCAGCTTCTTAGTTTTCTGGGAGTTTTTCTCTCTGCAGCTCTCCTGGGAAGATGTGCTTGCCTCATGCTTCACCTCCCATCGCCAGTGCTTCCCCGCCAGTGAAGGAACACAGGGTTGCTTTTAGAGATTGTGAATCCTGCTCCTTAATTGTGGCTGGGTGCAGCCCTTGCCATCCTCCTGCAGGGGAGGAAGAGAGCTCTGCGGGTCAGGAGAGCAGAAATTTTCATCTAGCAGTCTCTCCTGTTAGCAGCAAGGTTAGTTGGGACACTGCCAGTCTGGTGTGCACCTCAGGCACGGCATGGGTTTGTTTTCTGTTTGTTTGATGCATTGAGTATATTTAAGATGATACTACAATGGTGATAAATATAACAAGGGTCCTAGGGAGGAAAAGAAAAATCTTATAGTTTGTTTTTTTTCATCTTCTTTTTATTCCTCCAAGTGATGTAAATTTGGCATCTCAGTTTGTCTGAAAGAGTCTGAGCTATGGGTAGTTTGCATGCTGACTCCACATGGGTTCAAGTAACTTTTTACTGCTGTATACCAAGGTTTTAGGAATTATGTTGCATTTATGTCCAGTGTTTTACAGAGGAAAAACAACCATACTGCTGCTTAAAATGCATGTGGTTGATATTCCTTCAGCTCTGTATGCGATGAAACTCCTTTAAATAAGAAGTGAAAGAAAACCCAATTACTACATGTTGCTTGAGTCTTTAAAAGCCTAAGTTTAATGTTCATTATCTTGAGATTTAATGGTACTTAAATCAGAAACTTCAGAGCACTACAGAGGGAGATTTCCATCCTGTGGGATGTATTTTCCTCATTTAGGTTTACAGAACCTGCAAGATACTGAAGTTTGAACATGTCATTGTGGCAGAAGGACTAGTGCACATTGCTTCTCCACCCAGAGTAATTTGGGTAGAAATTGCAGTTTTGAAGGGAAAGCTATTTAATGAGCTCTGTTTTCTTTCTAATGGCAGCTAATGTGGTTCAGAGGTTTGTGATGATCAAAGTTGCTCTGATGGTTAGTAATTAGAGAAAGCTGCACTGTAAGAGATCTTTGGCAGGTTATGATCACTTCTACAAGGTAACACTGCACATTTTTGTGGTGCAGGATGGGGCTGTTTAGACATCTAACACCAGCATTTTTGGAGAGAGGGATTTACAGAGGGGTTGTCTTCCCCTCTTTCTGTATTTTCTGCACTGACTTTTTGGTGTTGCATCTCTATTGTGAGCTCACTAAGGTGGCATGGGTCAGCAGGACCACCAAAAGCAGCACCTCTTGTCCCTTCCTGCATGTGCTCTTCTGTGCCAGATTTGGCTGGGCCAGACCTGACCTACCTAGAGTCATGAAGGTTTAGTTTATTTGGTTTTAACCCAGCTTGGTTCCTCACAT